TTTAGTTTGCGTACAAATATTCATTAAGGTTCTTCTATTGTAACCAGCATCACTGACAATAACAATACAAATAGGCGTATAACCGCCCTCAAACTATGAGGAAAGAAAACCTTAGTAAAGTGAGGATAGGATAGAAACATAGGGCAAGGAAGCTCTGTATCCCATCAAGAATAGGGTAATGAAATAAGATAATCATCCAGCTGTAACACACTTCCGATGTCTAGCTGCCATATCACCAGAAGGAAGCAGAGTTGCCCAAACCTAGATGGGAGAAGTCGAGATGCAGAGGCCGGGTTCGAACCACGAACCTTCAGGTCAGTAAATCCGCGCTCTACCCACTGAGCCATCTAGCCCCCCCCCCTACACGTCCGAATAGTACTGAGATGCCTAGATTTGAGCACCATCACATCATGTTGAGGTACCATCAGCATAATGGACCTGACTTCTTCAGAGGTACAGTGACCAGTTTGCCGCTCCCGTCCACCCCCCAGTGACTCAAAAGCCCCCGTGCTGCACCGTTCAGCACAGCTTCATCTACACACTGCTGACAGTTAACATCATAGTCATATGAAGAATCTGCCTCTTGGATCCACTTGTCACTAGTGGCGAAAATTTAATCGCCACAATCCTATTCCTCCATACTGTACTCTACTTTATGTCATGTAGTTACTTCGACTCTACCATTTCAGCTCGTGCACTTCTATTGTAGAAAGAGTAAAGCGTAACTTACTGTTTTTTTCTAAATTCCATCTTCTTGCTGCGTTTAATCTGGGTCTAAATACGGGACATTAGACGAACCACCACTAAGGAGTTGATGCTTGCAAAGATTCTCCGGGTGTAAAGTCACTGTTACGAAAAAGTGAGACCAAATCATACGGTACAGCGCGTGACGGGCAGATTTCCCGTTGCTCCAACCTGTTAAAATAAATTGCGAGGTTTTCAGGTACACACACATCATTAAGCCTATTGTGGCGGATATGCCATACCGTCTCATCATCATCATCATCACAGACAGCAACATTGTGTTAACACTGGTGCTTCAATGTCGTGCTACGAAACTGAGTAGTAAAAGATGGTCGGTGTATATGACTCCAGTCTAGTTTCGTTAACTGAGGGGCTGTCCTTGTTCGCACTACGATTCCACGCATCTGGAGAAGAAGCTTTAACACTCGGTACCTAACTTTCAGGCCACCCGGAAGAGGCACGAGGGCTGAGATACTGCCAGATTGCCCAAGCCGAGACAGGGATAGTCGAGATGCAGATGTTGCGTACACATCCGGGGTGACCAGTTGTCGAGGGAACCCATTTTAAACAGCACGCCAGTGCTCACAGAGCGAGATCCGGCTAGTGAAAATCATTATCAGCATTAGTAGCACAACAGTACTGGACACCTGTGCCTCGCTGTAGTGCGCCCGCTATTTATTTGAAACGATGATGACATAAAAAAGGGGAGAATACTCCCAGTGCAAGCAAGATTTCTAGGTGCTCACAGCCTTAGACCCTCGTCCAGACAATTAGGATGAATAACGAAAAAGCCGCTACTGATGCCGATAAGCAAAAATCAAGATTACTTCACACAGGGCAAACACTTTCGAGGTTTGGTTGCACAACACACTGTTGAAGGCTATCGAAGTCTCAACTATATGACCTGCTCCATAGGCATGAGCCTTAGTGACCAATCGCTTTTATGTGTAAGTTATATGGACCGTGGCAACTCTTCTCGTAAGTGCTCAGAAGTCCGCTGAGAAAGACACCAGTTCGCTCGACCATTGATTTGCGATTCACCACAGCTGTAAGCCGACTACTCATGGATGAAGCGCGGTAGAATGATCAACCAGTCTTGGATCTAGCCTGAAACACAGCCCTCTGATTGCATGAAAAACTAACTGAGCAGCTGAGAATGTGCGAATTAGGGCAGATTGGGTTTTCGTTTTACGTGTTGAGCAACGTGGTCGCTCTAAAACGACAGGCAGTGGAAATCCCTTCTTAAAAGTTAATCATATCAGAGGATGTGTTCGGCAAATTTTGAAGGCTGAATCTGCGCCGATCGCCCTCCGCATCAGTATCTGTTTCACAAGGTGTCTTCTCGAGCCAGTTGTTCTCGCCCTATGAAATTGATTTAATCAGGCACCGCTTATACTTTATGGGTGAGAAATAGATACTGGTCAATGCAGGTGGTCATACGGTCGAATGTGTCGCAAGGTCCCACTCGGACGTCAAACCATTTGAAAATCTTGGGGGGGGGGGAATCCAACTCGATTCAACCTCGTGGGACATTGGTGAGTTGGGATAAACATCTAAATAAGTAGTGGGTGATGATAGGTCAAAATCCACTGGCAGCCCATCAGTGATTGTGTTCGGTTTAGGACTCACCACGCAGCCGTAGATCCCGGAAGCTGAAAAATCTATGTATAAATCGAATAATTCATAGCAAAAAAGAAACCTTACAGAACAATCTCGAGACAGACTCTGGGTTCCAGATTATTTCACTCACGTTTTGCCACATAGACACATGCACTGACCAGTACCTCGAAACATTCACCGTCGAACAAGTGACTGAAGAAAACTTGTTGAAACAGACGCCAACTAGCACGCGTACACCACCCTTCACAATTAACGGAACACATTCTCTGATAGTATTAGTTCAGCTGTAACAGAATTCCGATGCCTAGCTGCCATGCCACCCGAAGGAAGATAAGGGATGAGATACTGCCAGGCCGCGCAATCCTAAACAGGAGTAATCGAGATACAAAGGTTGGAAGCAAACAGAGACCTTTCTGTCAGTAAATTGGCGTCTTAACCAGTGAGATACCTCAAGCTACCTGAGCTCTAATATGCTTAGCAGTGCTTCTAAGAAGGATGTGCCAATCGTTTCAGGGCGACAGATTGCTCAAAATGTAAGACAGAAGCCCCAGATTGTACGTCTCCAGCTGCATAGCTACGTGTTTCCTATGCAATCAGTCGTGTTCCGGACTAAGTCCAAGACTCTGTGCGACCATTATACCCAATTCACTTAACAGTTTACTTCTCAGTCGAGAGTCGAAGCTTAAAAAACCAAGGGTAGGACACCATGCTCAGGTCGATGAGAGCAGCAGACTTGGCAGCAGACAAACAGGAACAGACGAAATTCGCCAACGAGCACTCTGCCTATGGACAGAATAAGGTTGAAGTCAATTCCCTTCATACGAACGAATATACATGAAACCATAAGGGTAAAAGCATTAGGCATCATATCAGTTTTGCCCGATTGTAACGGGTACTGGTCCACTGCATAAACATCACACGGCCGTGAAGCATCGGTGTTGAACACTGATGTCATGCTGTTGATGATGATGAACACCGACACAACCCGAGGTCTATCCATTTTGTTCCGGAACTGGACTGTGGGTTATGCCACCTGAGAGGGAACATATGGATCTACGCAATCACTGCACCCTACTGGTGGGTGCAAACAAGGATTGACTAACTCCACTTGCGGTTAACATTAATCGGCCACAGCCAAGCATAAGATCCCCTACCCGCCGCACGCAAATGCATTGAAAATACGCCCAAGAAAGCCACTAACATCCCACAAAAACAATTAGTCAAGGTCCCTAACAACTTTCCACAAGAATCGTTGTTCCTCCGGCACAACCTTCGGTGCATTACAACAAGGGGATGAAACTACCAACACTCCACAATGCAGTTCCAAGGAACAGCAATTTGAGATCAGGACGTCACATCCGGTGAGCGACCTGACAGTCAAACTATCCGAACTCCTCTAAAGGCCTTTGGCCCAACAAGCATTCATACATAATGGACTAACCCGGCAAGCTTCGGGCCAGCCACTTTGCAGTGCAGTTCATCACAGACCAACGCAGAGCCGGGACCTACCGGCGACGATACACCTTACATCCGGACCTACTGATGTTGAAGAGCATGACGATTTTGATTCGGGGTTTAAGGAAGTTGACGTATCAAAAGCCGGCCGGAGAAAACGACTCTGATAGTAGGGATTTGTTGCGAGCACCTAGAAAGTACGAGTATCCCCAGGGTCAAGATACAGGAAAATATCCCTTGCACGCGCTCAACGCCATGCATCCCTTGACCGAACGGTATCCTGAACTCGACTTCCCAATTTTACTGGCATCCTAGCATGGAGATATATAATCCCGAGGCTGCCCTACAGTACACTCAGATAGTGGTGCAATCTGCAGGATCGCAGAGACTAATCCATCGTTTTCTGGGGAGAAGTCTTAGAAGCCCGGGATTTTGAACCTACATTCCGGAACCCTTAACTGTTGCACAGTTTAATCATGAAAAGACCATCAGGTGAAGAGCCGGCCATAGTTGGAAGGGCAGAGAGCTGACAAAGAAATATCCCTTATTCAAACCGGGATAACCGGAGTGACGTCGATAGAACACCTTATCACGGCCACAGTAAACTCGTGTATGCGGTCCCAGCTCGGAATCCCTGGCGCAAATCAATGGGGAGGGTAGTAACGAACTGACCGTTGCACACTGAACCCCGAACGATGACCAACCCCCATTCGAGGCAATTACGCACGCCATGGACTGATCTTGTTCTCAAACAATGTACCAGATTTCGAGGGGACCTACAATATTTGGGCACAAACATGTGCGACAAAAAACTAGTATACCACCCACTACGCCCTTACGGACGTTATGCCGTAGAGTATGCCAAACATACCTACCCGTTCTGTCGCCAAACGGCGGACTCCCAAGGTTACCTTAGGTTGAAAACACGTGGGTTCCAACGGATAAAACCAGCGAAAAAACCCGAGTCAGTGTACAGCATGCGCGCAGCGAAGGACATTAAACGGGTCTATGCCACCATGTAAACAGGACCAGCGACAAAGGACTGACTACCAACAACGGGAAGCTTCACTTAAGTTAGCCCACCCAACCTAGTCCGAAATAAAAACGAGCAAAACACAATACAGAAAATGCATTAAATGCAATAACTCCTAAAATGTGATAAAAAACAATCGTCGTTCTCCTCAATCCACCTCTTCGATCGTCGGGCCACGAGCACCACCACCGGAAGCAGCTCCACCTCCTGCACCAGGGAATCCACCTGGAAATCCACCGGGCATACCACCAGGCATACCCTCACCACCGCCACCAGCAGCCTGGTACATCTTCGTTATGATCGGATTGCACACCTTCTCCAACTCCTTCTGTTTGTGCTCATATTCGTCCTTCTCCGCAGTCTGATTCCCATCCACCCAAGATATCACCTCAGAACACTTCTCGCTGATCAACTTACGGTCAGACTCCGAAATCTTGTCTTTCACCTTCTCATCCTCAACAGTCTGCTTCATCGAATAGGCGTAACTCTCCAGTGCATTCTTCGCTGCCACACGATCACGCTGGTGTTCGTCGTCCGCCTTGTACTTCTCCGCGTCAGCCACCATACGGTCAATCTCATCCTTCGACAAACGACCCTTATCATTCGTTATCGTTATCTTGTTCTGCTTACCCGTGCTCTTGTCCACCGCCGACACATTCAGAATACCGTTCGCATCTATGTCGAAAGTCACTTCGATTTGTGGCACTCCACGTGGGGCCGGAGGAATCCCCGACAGCTCGAACTTGCCCAACAGATTATTGTCACGGGTCATCGCACGCTCGCCTTCATACACTTGAATCAGTACTCCAGGCTGATTGTCCGAATAGGTTGTAAACGTCTGCGTCTGCTTCGTGGGAATTGTGGTGTTCCGCTTAATCAGAGCGGTCATAACACCACCAGCCGTCTCCAGACCCAACGACAGAGGAGCCACATCCAACAGAAGCAAGTCCTGCACAACTTCCGATTTATCACCACTGAGAATCGCAGCCTGAACTGCAGCACCATACGCAACCGCCTCATCCGGATTGATCGATTTGTTCAACTCCTTACCATTGAAGAAATCCTGAAGCAGCTTCTGCACCTTCGGGATTCGAGTCGAACCACCCACCAACACAATGTCATGAATCTCACTCTTGTCCATCTTCGCATCGCGCAAAGCCTTCTCCACCGGATCAAGCGTACTACGGAACAGGTCCGCATTCAGCTCCTCAAACCGAGCACGTGTGATCGACGTGTAGAAATCGATACCCTCGTGCAACGAGTCAATCTCAATGTTCGCCTGCGCACTCGAACTCAAAGTGCGCTTAGCACGTTCACACGCCGTCCGAAGGCGACGGACAGCACGTTTGTTGTCCGAAATGTCCTTCTTGTGCTTGCGTTTAAACTCTTGGATGAAGTGACTCACCATTCGGTTATCGAAATCCTCACCGCCCAAATGCGTGTCACCCGCCGTCGACTTCACTTCGAAAACACCATCGTCGATCGTGAGGATGGAAACATCGAACGTACCACCACCGAGATCAAAGATCAATACATGTCGCTCACCTCCACCCACCTTCTTGTCCAAACCATAAGCAATCGCAGCAGCTGTCGGTTCGTTGATGATTCGCAAAACGTTCAGGCCAGCAATGGCACCCGCATCCTTCGTGGCTTGACGCTGGCTGTCGTTGAAATAAGCCGGAACAGTAATCACGGCATCCTTCACCTTCGTACCCAGATATGCTTCGGCTGTCTCCTTCATTTTCGTCAACACCATTGAAGATATCTCCTCTGCCGAGAACGTCTTGACCTCCCCCTTGTATTCCACACGGACCTTTGGCTTACCACCCTCTTGGATAACTTCGAAAGACCAATGTTTTCGGTCAGACGTCACCGATGGATCATCAAATCGCCGACCGATCAGTCTTTTCGCATCGAACACAGTGTTGCTTGGATTGATTGCTACTTGATTTTTGGCGGCATCACCAATCAGTCGTTCGGTATCTGTGAACGCAACATAGCTGGGTGTCGTGCGATTTCCTTGATCGTTGGCAATGATTTCCACTTTTCCATGCTGGAACACTCCAACGCACGAGTATGTAGTGCCCAAATCGATCCCAACTGCCGGCATCTTCAGCCAAATTCAACGGACTGAACGAACGAATTTCGAGAGCTGGAAAGGCGATCGGCGTTGTGTAGTGCGCCGTCGTTTATATAGCTTTTCTTACGCTGACCTTCTAGACGTCCTTGAAAATCTGGATTGGTCTAGATCTGAAGTTCCAAGCCAATGGCTAGTTAGCATGGGCGCTTCGAGTGCCTACTATCGACCAATGGTTGATCCTGGTTTGGGTTTGCCTTGGGCGTAGGCTGGCTTGGATGGGTGGAATGGTTTCTCCGCCTTGTGCGCTGGTCCACGCATCAATCTGAGCAGCTGAGCATAGTAGTAACGTGCGAATTTCGAACGTTGCTGCTACGTAGAACAAATCGAGAATGAATTTCCAAGATATGCGGGAGCACGAATTCTGGACAAATGTCTTGAAATCTTGTCAGTAAGTAGAGGTCTTGTTCTGGCTTGCTGAATAGCTTATATAGATTCCTTTTTTAATGATTACACCTCAAAGCAATAATGTATGTTGGATTTTTCACTTTAGAGTTGGTTGCAACCCTTTTTTCCCAGGAACCTATCCAAGTTCTTCGTCTCCTGCTGTTTTTCACGTGCCACAGTGCGGTAACTTCTGATCTCACCATTGGTGCAGATTAACAAAATCAATTTTGTTTTTTTGGGTTTGATGGATTGATAGACAGGATTGAGGCCGAAGATTCCTGAATCGTGCCCATTCTTCCCGTTCAGCGGCCTCTGTTCACCCTGAAAGACAAGCGAAAAATGATGTAGCTTTGATCCCTAAGATCTCAGCACCGGGCAGTAAGCTTGCCAGCGCGAGGACTCGTAAAAAATATCTAAATATGTTTTAATCTGGGCCCAGTGTGAACAACCAGTGGAATTGGGTTGTTCCACACACAGAACTACCTGAAATTAGGTAAATTTTTGTCTAATTTAAGACTGCGCTTGAGCTTGAAGATGTCATCATCTCCCCGACGCGTTAATTCACCTCGGAGTCGAAGGTACTTCACAGGAAAGAGGTCAAGCACCCCGAGATTTGTTTCGCAATCAATGGTTTTGACACCAGCAACCATCGTAGCAGTCCGTTCGGTGCCTCTTGAGTAGACAAGTTGGTTGACAAATTCAAGAGGCTGTCTCACGTAGGCCCCGTAGGGTATCTGCAAGCCCATGCGAGTAATACTGCGGAGGGAGTGCTGCATCGTCCATAGAACGGCAAATACACTGTGAGACATTATCATAGTGAAATGACAAGAACATGTTTCAGGAGTGCGAGAAACCTAAATCCTTCTGGCATCTATCCTCGAAATGACTTCTGGTCCATCCTCTCCACGGACAACAAAGGCGTTCGCTGAGTCTTCTCCGAATGACGTAGGGACGCACTTTCATCCACAGGAAGATGCCTGTCCAGCGACCGCTGATTTGCAGCGTCTGTATCCATTTGAAGGGCGCTGGCGTTGCATTGTCGGGGTTTCAAGTTGTCCGCAATAAGTAGACATGGGCATTAAGGGAAGTATGGAAGGTCGTCGATATAGATCAGACACAAAATGGAGCCTAGGAGAACTTCAGTGAAAACTGGTACAAGAAAAGAGTAGATCAGGCCCACTCCCTAGCGGAATTTTCTATCAAATCTAGTCTGAGCTCCTTGGAATCACATGTGGGCGGTCGAGTCGGAATCGATGCTCACCGCACAGACAACGGAGAACGATTTCCTGAGTCGTGTGCCGCGTAACCTGGCGGACACCAACTGCAAATCAACCGTGGACCCAGTTGAACCACGTGGCCATCAGCCACCGGTGCAGAGCCACAATTCAAGACTGCCGTTACCTCTGGGGCACACCACTTGATTTCGATCACAACATGGTGCATGCACGCCTGACAGTTCGCTCTCACTCAGGCCCTCGCAACTCAGCAAGAAGCATGCCATTACACTATCTTCGAAGAACTACCATAGCTCAACAGTGTCAATCTGAGCTACCCCAACGACGCTCCACAGTAAACCAATATTGTGGTGGTGGTGAGCATTTGGATGAAGCGTGGCAAAATGTGAAAAGAGCTACGCTAGCGGCGTTCAGTGTTGTCTGTCCGACTTATCCGATTCTACCACAAGACCATTGAATCTCGTCAAGATCGCTATCCGGGATTTCTGCCAGGATATCCATACCGGCAGGCAAAGAGTACGACGGGGGCCACAAGTCCTTCNCAAACGCCAAATAGTGAAGAGTCTAAGGAAAGACCGAGAGCTCTGGTGGACATCGAAAGCTCGGGAGATGGAGAAGGCTTTTGCTACGGGAAACAGCTGTGTCCCGTATCAGCTCATACGATTGACTGGCCCTAGGTAAGCAACGTTCAGCGAAACGATAAGTGAAAAAGGCGGCTCGCTAATTCACTCGCAAGAACGTCGACTGGAAATATGAGCCGAACACTTCGAAGAACAGTTCAGCTTGCATGCTGTAACCCAGACTGTGAAGATAGTTCATACTGGCGAATGGAATGTAAGTCTCGCTCGCCCATCGGAAGAAGAAATAAGGTACGAAAAAGCCCTACTGATACGTGAAAAGTCACCAGTACCAGACGGTCTACATCCAGCCTTGTTCAAAGAAGGAGGAGAATCCCTGGTGACCCATCTGACAAAGCTTATTGGTGCTATACGGAACTAAGAGAAGTTGCCTGCAGAGTGGAGCATGTGGACATTTATCTTCAAAAAAGGTATGCAGATGCTGTATTCAAACTACCGGGACATCAGCCTTGTAGCTGTGGCATCGAAGGGGCTCTCTGGTCTTATCCTTTAAAGGTTAGCTGAACACAGGGGAAGACAGGCTCGTGAAAACCAAGCTGGATTCCGTACTGTAAGAGAATGGACCGATCACATCTTCACCCTCTGACAGATTCTGAAACAGAGACATTGCTTCCAACAACCAACAATGATCTGAAAGCTGACTCTATGGGGCGCCAGGCACTATGACAGTGTCTGTGGAACAAAGGTGTCCCCCATGAATTATTGACCCGTGTGAAGGTCTGCTGGAAGCTCTCGCCTGAGTTCACCACATCAAGTTGTGCCAGACAGGGCTGTCCTCTTTTACCTTTCCTTTTCCACTTCGTCAATGATGTAATTACGAAAGTTTCACTATCAGCCTCTAATGCCTGTGGGATCGTAGCACTCCCGGGGCATTCAGTCACAGATGTCGAGTATACATAGTACTCCGCTTCTCTTGGATCTGACCCATGGTGATGCAAACAATACTGAATAATCTAAATCTGCCCCATGGTTTAACATGCGCTTTACACCAAAGTGTAAAGCGCTACTGCAAGACTGGGTGGGCTTGAACCCTAATTGCATGCTTGCGGATGAGCCGATTTTGGTAGTAGACAAGTTTATCTACCTAGACATCTGTGTTAGTCCCAGTGGTCTCGCGAATGATAATATTTCCATCCCAATTGGAATTGTAAACCTGCATCCCCGATGGCATAGGCTCGACAAGTTCGGATTTACAGTGCTGGGCACCATATGCCTCAGTGGTTAGAGCGCGAATTTACTAAGCGGAAGGTCGAACCCAACCTCCGCCTCTCGACTCCCCCTGTCTGGGCTTGGACAACCTGGCTATTTACCAGCTCTCTTGTGCTTCCTTCGGGTGGTATGGCAGATAGGCACCGAAAGTGTATTACTGCTGAACAATTATTTCACTACTATTCCGCGGTGCACTCCATATCATCCTATGGGTCAGAGGCCTTGCCGCGGCGCTCTGAGGATGTCAAAAGGCTTCCAGTTTCTTCATGACATTACCCGAGGTTATTATAAACACCGGACCAGTAATGCTGAAGTAAGTCGAATGGTTTTCAGAAGAAATAACTTGCCTACGGTCGATGCACTGAACACACCATAGGTTGCCCTAGCTTGACCAGTATACCAGTCGACCGACTTCCTCGAAGGGCTCTTTCCGGGTAGAAACGAGCCAAGGGCGGTATGTGAAGTATGAAAGTCATTACCTCAAAATTAGCTGCGCTGGTCATTGCCGTCTTCCTGGATGGATACCACGAGACGGGGCACATCACTGGTTAGAGACAGTCAGACGTGGCCCGGTCGCGTCCCCCAATGACGCCAATGCATCAGATCTATTACCTTCAATGCACAGTTCCCCTCCGAATCTCCAGTGAAAGGCCCACTGATAAACCTGCATTTTTGCAACAGTTATATCAGCTACCGCCTCCAATACGGAGCCATCTAGTCCACCTCCCCAAATCATAAGTGAACGGGACTGTGGTAGCTATAGCTACTGTAGGCAGGTAGACGTTTTTTTGCAACTGCTGACGATGACCTCAGGGGACAGTGACTCGCGATGTCTTTGCAGCAGGCAACCGGGAGATCACGTCAGGGTGCCAGCTTTTCATCAGGATGTTTCTTCCGCTTAACTGTTCCAGGCCATTGATGATAAACGAAGTGGGGCCATGAAATATCTACTGGTAGGAATACCTGGGTTCGGTTATTTCTAGAGGCCAGGCTCGGAGTCACGGCTTGCTCGGATGGTATCACCAGACGATTCCTACAACTCATGTATGCACTACGTGTCTGGTGATGCCTTTTTTTCAGATGCCCGGTCGTGGTTTTGAGCCCCAGAAGTCAAACCTAAGGCCAGCGTAAATGAGGCCGTCTTCTTGGACCAGGCACGAGGAAATGGCGTTTTAGTGAGTTGTGGCCTGCCGATGCTACATGCAATTAGACGCGATTAAGCGGTATAATGGAAGTGTATTTGCAGCGACTCATGTGCAAAATGGCAACCACATCCTGGGAATTACTTGAACAAAAACAACAGACCCTGAAAACCCGTCCACAACAAGCACTTATTGAAAATCTGACAAAGGCCATCGAAACATTCGGCGTACGGTTCGCGCTCATATTGCGACGGACCCTGACCGTACCATGTGGGAAACACCGGTTCTAGTCTGATCACCGAAGTTAAGCAATGAAGGGGCCGGTTAGTACATGCACGGGTGACCGGTTGGGAATACCGGGT